ATCATAATGTATGACTTCATTAGTAGAAGCAAAAACTCAAGTTATTTTCTTAACCTGATGAATCCAGCCAGTCACCAACGGTCGATTTTATCTCACAGGGTACTGTTTGAGTATAGAACCAGCATGTCTGGAATGTCTTATTGGCCAATAGTTGGGATTCGAATGCCAAAAATGTTATTCAGCTATACTCACGGCGGAGGCAGGTTAACGCTGTCAATGAAGATCTCGCTAAAATCACAACCTTGTTGAATTCAACGCCACCAAAACTGAAGCCTGTATTTTCTCTAGAAAGGCGAAATTCAGTAGGTATGCCTGATATATCAATACCAAAGAAGGGAAGATTTGTATTTCGTGCAACCGTCCATAAAAATATCTTTGGTCCAGTTCAAAACTAACGACATTAAGGTAAAATACGTTACAAACAAATTAAAATGTGTTTCCCAAAAGGAGGTAAAATATAAAAGTGAACTTCAACACGACATGTCGCAGCTGCAATGGCTGCTTAACAAAATGTAATCTATATTTTACCCCCTTTTGGCAAACACATTTTGATTTGTTTGTAACGTATTTTACCTTGATGTCGTTAGTTTTAAACTGGACCAAAGATATTTTCATGGACGGATTTCCCTGTTAACCTGACGAGTACGCACTGATGATGACTTAACAGTCGAAAGCGCTCTGCTACGAATATTGAATAAATTATCTTGCACGAAATACAAATCTTCCCTTCTTTGGTATATATTCACGTGCACACAGCCCAGCAACCCTCACTGATACATCAATGTCTGGTATAGCTCCATTCTCACACACACTATATCTATGCTCGGTTTTTCTATCAGCAATAGCCTTTGATAGAGAAATTATGTCGGTTCCATCGGTAAAGCTGCTTCACGAAAACTTGGATTTATATTGCGTGCGAAAATCTACACCCCAACAGCTCCTCATTATCTACAAAGCACAGATACGACCTCTGCTTCAGAATACTGTTCCCACATATGGAGTTCAGCACCAAAACATACGCTGATGATCTCAAATTCCATTTAGCCACACTCACTAATAATTTGGAAGTAGAACATGAAAGTGTCGGCGACCTTCCACTCTTCTATAGATACTTCCATGGGGAATGTTCATCAGAAATATCTGCTATCATTCCATCACGAGCAATACCAGTCAGACAATCCTGACAAGCCCATCAGTCAGCACACTATTTCGTCTTTAACCTTGAGATATGTCGAACAACTGTTTACCAGAACTCGTTTTTTAATAGAGCGGCTAACAGGCCTATTCAGTATCTAATAACGTTATCGTTACGTGTCGTTAGTGAATGACATGTCGTTAAATAACGATAATTTTCTTGAATCGAATTCACTACCGATTTGACAGTCGGTAATGAACGACAAGCTGTCATCGGAACATCGTTTATAGACGATAGCTATTCAGAGAGTATCGGTAGGGTAACATGAGAACAAAAATAATGAACATTATATTTGTTTTTATCGCTTGGAGCGCACGAAAGGGAATCCCTATAATGTTCAAAGAACATCGTGCGTTCCTAGGGAGGATAGGGACAGGAGGAAGGTGTTGGAATTTTTTTTGAACTTTTGGAGATTATATGTTGTTGGGAATACTTCCACAGGCAATGAATTCCAGAGCCTAGCCGTTCTATGGATGAAGGGGTCTTGATAAAGAGCTGTTCGACATCTTTCGAGGTTGACAACAAAATGATGTGCTGACTGGGCTTGTCTAGTTCGTCTGATTGGTATTGCTAGTGAAGGGATGATAGCAGAGATTTCCGAAGAACATTTCTCGTGGAAGTATCGATAGAAAAGTGAAAGGTCGCCGACCTTTCTACGGTGTTCCAATGATGTCAAAGAGTGAGTGAGTGTGGCGTCACCCACCAGGCGAATGGCTCTTCTCTGGATGGAATCTAAGAGCATTCTAGAACAGGCCGTATCTGCGCTTTGTAGATCATGAGAAGCTGTTGAGGTGTAAAGTAGCTTTTCGCACGAAACAAGAATCCGAGTTTTTGCGAAGCAGCTTTTGCGATGGATCTGACATGATTATCCCATGAAAGAGTGTTGCTGATGGAAATACCGAGCATAGATATTGTGGGCTTGGTGGGGATGGTGGAGCCAGACATCACAATGTCGGGCATACTGAGTTCCGCCTTTTTAGAGAAAACGCAGGCTTGAGTTTTGGTGGCGTTGAATTCAACTAGGTTGTTGGTTCCCCAGGCTGTGATTTCAGCAAGATTTTCATTAACAGCATTGACCTGCCTGCGCCGTGAGTTCTTAGTTTCCTGGGAAGAAATGGGAATTCTGGAAGAGAACGCAGTATGGAGGGTACTATCATCTGCAAAGCTGTGGATGGGGCAAGTTGTTACTCCCAACAGATCATTGATATGATGCAGGAATAAAGTTGGTGCCAAAATTGATCCTTGTGTAACGCCGGAATTGATGTCAATGGTATCAGACGATACACCGTCCACCACCACGTGAAGCGATCTGCCTGAAAGAAAACTCGATAAGAGATGGCATAGCTGAGGTGGTAAGCCGTATGATGATAGTTTGTGGAGGAGTCCTTCGTGCCAAACACGGTCGAATGCTTTCGATATGTCCAACGCGACAGCTAGAGATTCCCCGTGTTTTTCTAATGAAGCTTGCCATAAATGGGTAACGTAGGCAAGTAGATCTCCAGTAGATCTTCGGTGGCGAAAGCCGTATTGTCTATCATTGATGATTCCTGAGCTCTCTAGATATTTGGTAAGCTCAATATTGATGGCTTTATCCATCACTTTGGAGATAACTGATAACAGGGCAATAAGCCTGTAGTTATTGGGCAGGTTCTTGTTCCCTTTTTTGGGGATTGGTTGGACTCTAGCTGTCTTCCAGCATGATGGAAAAATACCCGATCTGTACGAGACAGTAAACAACTTGCAGAGAATTGGTGTTAACTCTGGTGCACATTTTTTGAGGATGATGGGTGGAATTCCATCAGGACCGTTAGCCCTATTCGTTTTGAGACCAAGCAAAATTCGTCTGATAGTGCGTTGACGGAAAATGATTTCGGGCATTCGACTCTCGACGGGTGGAATGTCTGGCGGCACTTTTCCTTGGGAATCTAAAGTAGAGTTTGCTGCGAACATCTCTGCAAAAATATTTGCTTTCTCCTGCGATGTTGTTGCTAATGTGCCGTCGGATTTGGACAGTGGTGGAAATGAACTATTGGTGAAATTTCTTCCGACCGCTTTAGCAAGGGACCAAAACGAACGGGAGCCATTGGGGCAATCTATGAGTTTCGATCTTATCTTGGCATTGTATGTTTCTTTAGAAGCATCTATTGTTTGGCTGCAGTTGTTCCTGGCATCAACGTATTTTGCTCTAGTCGCGAGGTTAGGGTTTTTGCGCCAGTGATGGTAGGCTGTTTGTTTCAAGGCAACAGTTCTAGAACAGTTTTTGTTGAACCAGGGTTGATGATCTTTTCGAAGAATGAGGTATGTATGTGTCTATTCCGAGCATGATGATCTCGAATATTTCCGCAGCACACTGTGAAGAGTGTGAAGGGTCCTCAGAGTCAAAGCATACACTATGCCAAGGAAACTCAGAGAAAAACATGCGGATACCATCCCAATCTCCTGAATTGTAATGCCATATAAGACGTGGGGGTGCCAGAACAGTTGATGGAATGAAAAATGGACAGGTTGTGGAGATGAGTGTGTGGTCAGAATTGCCAAGTGGAGCTCGTACTTCTATGGTGTAGGGTGCTGAATTATTAGTGAGGAATAAGTCTCATTCATCGGTTTTCTGTTGGAGATGGATCCAGTCAGTCTTTTTAAATTTTCAGAAGGGTTTCATAGGAGTTAGATATAAATATTTGTAGATATTCACCGTTTATTTCGTTTCAGACAAGTAAATAAAAATTTGAATAGACGCTTGAGGGACGCTAGTAATTTAGTAAACATTCGAAAGTCCTATGACGGAAACTTTCGGGAGGATTGTCGGTTACCCGGAGACCTATAGTTTGGGTGGTATTCTCTCATAATATGTTGAAGCATCCCAAAAGGAGGTCAGTAGGAATACTAGTATATATCATCAGTTGTTGAAAATAAAATCGGAATGTACCTACGTACTACTCATGTACCTATCTGTTGTTACCAAAAACCTATAGAAAGAGACAAATCATGAGCTATATCCCAAGCAGATGTATCTATGAAATATCAGACATACTTGTAGACAATCACCCCAAGTTACAAAATAGGTGAATTGAGACCTGAATTATCCAAAGCTCAAAATTATCTCTTATTTAATTTTTTTCAAAACCCATATAAAAATAATACGTAGGTACTGTTCTCCATTGCTTTCCATCTCATTGGGCCTCTGGAACTATTCAATTATCTCGTCAATTGTAGAACCAAACCACTCCAAGTTCCTTCCAGGATATTGGAGTTTGTGGGTTCATATTGATTTGATGGAGAGGATTCATTTCCTTGCAGTTCCTCCACTCATATTCAAATAATAATCACTGTTTGAATATTTTAGCACACCGGTTACTGTAAGCAATCCTACTTTCCTTAGAAACATTTTTTTCTCCAATTATTATAGTAGAAGACTCGGTGGAAGATGATATATATGATATACATAACGATTTGTCAATTTAAAACAAATAATGTCACACTTTGTCATACTATCTATTCTGAAAATATATACTTCTTGTTAATTTTCGAATATTTCAACGACATATCTTACAGAATGCATTTTTTCATCAAGTCATTCGAATTGTCGTTACATATTAGGATAACGATGGTTGTTATCTAACGACTCGTAAAATAACGACTTTTCACTGAATAGGCCTGTGAGCTTTGGAATTCTTTGCCGAAAAGGAAGTATTTCCATGAACTCATATATATAATCCCCAGAAGTTCAAAAAAAAATTCCAAATGCGTGTTTCATCTATGCTCCAGCTGATACAATTTTGTTATAAGTAATCAGAAACATTGGGATATGATAGTTCTTGATATATTTTCATCGACTCTATCACAATTCTTAATAATTTAATAATAATCATTGCATAGGGAAACTCTCGCCATTCTGTGCTGACATAATTATGATGTTTCATCGGTTATGCGCTTTTCAGTCCACAGGGTCTCATCATAGAGTTCATGTAGTCTTCTCTGAATTGCACTAGTTTTGGTGTCTGATCGCAATTGTCCTTGATGATTTCAGTGAAACAACGGGAAGCTGGTATGAATTTTCTGGAAATGAAGATCACATAATTAGCTCACAGAGATAGAAACTCAATGTCATTACCACAATAGTTCATAAAATGAACGAAAATGGTAGGTACCCTAATAACACACTTATGTCCCATGGATATCCTTAGGACGTCCTGTCTGGACATTCAGGACGTCCATAGGACGTTCGAATTTGGTACCGTAGTCGTCCATTGGACGTATGTGGGACGCACAAATGTCCCACTTGGGGACCAACTGGGGACGTCCTTGAGTGATGTCCCTGGGACAACTATCGAATACCCAAATCCTACAGTATTCCTCATCAAGCACTACAGAGGACATCCTCAGGACATCCATTGGACAATCTATTAGAAACGTACGAATTATTCTCGAATTCAAATTTTTCTGGGTCCCTCTAGGACCAGATCTTGCATAGCTGATGAGGACAACCAGTTGAGTTGATGGTCCGTAGAAGGTCTCCAAAAAGTGTTCCAAGGATGTCTAATCGACTTACGTGAAGGACATTGACGAGGAGTACTTGTAGCCTACGAGCAATCATTCATCGGCGAGGTGTAAGTTAACGTCCTCGCAGGGACAACATATTGAAAGTTACGACTGGGACGTTCATAGGACGTTATTTCTGGGACATTTGAAATGTACAGTTCATGTAACAATTGGGACATTCGACGGATATCCCCAAGGGACATTTCGATTGGTTAACGATCCTGGAAATATTAAGGGCCTCTGTGCAGAGATATTTGAAGGAATGTATCATCAGGGATATTCCATGGTTGTCTAGAAGAGACATTATATGAGATCTGAAGTCATGCCAGAATATGTACTCCTCGGGACATCCGATGGATGTCCCTAAAGGAACGTTAAAAATCATATCCCATCAGGGACATGCCAAGGACGTTCTTGCATGGACATTTTACAATATGTACCACGTGAAACGTCTAAGGGATGCTATTCCTAGGACATTTGAAATTATGTACCAGCTGGGACATTCCGTGGACGTCCTTGCTCGGACATTGCATGAGATGTACGGGATGGGACGTTCCAAGGATACAAATTTTTGGTTCGGGACATTCGGACGTGAATTGTACCAAATAGGGACGTCACTAGGACTTTGTCTGCTAATAGGGTAAACGAGAGAAAAACTATATGCCACGCAGAACATTGGATTACATTCCCTCGAAATCTATGCAATGATTCGCCGAGCTGCGCCTAAGTGGTTCAGGAACGCATGACTACCTGCAGACCGGTTTCGAGCTGTTGGCTCTCATCAGTGTAGGGCTGTCCCAGATAGCATTCTTGACCGCTATCTGGTGCGAACCTGATCCAACGTAAACGCATCTCAGTATTTATACCCCACGAGGCGTTCAACGTCCGCGAAATAAAACGCGAAATCTATAGATTTCTACTAAACTATTAAATACCGTAGGTCAATCATTACAGCGATTGGAATATAAGAATGAAAAAAAAAAGGAAACATTTCTAACTTTCACAGAAGTTGTATTTTAGTGTTAAATGAAACTATGAAATGTTCCGTCTTGCGTACGAGGTCGGCAACATTGTTCAAAATGTGAATCATATACAGTGTCTTTCAAAAGTATCGGAACGGTCTCATATTTCAGGAACGGCTCGAGAAAAATTCACGAAATTTTCTACTGGGTGATTATTGATGATGTCCGATTCAATGGTGGCATCGGCAATGTTGCCAAGTTCACAGTTTTTCAGATATTAGGAGTAACTTTATTTTTTCAAATGGAATACCCCATTTATTTTTATTGGAATTAATTAAGCGCCTCCTAATTACTTGAGTCCCTGAATATCAGATTCGTAATTAACGTGATTTTCGAAATATGACAACATAGCATTTTCGTTAAAAAGTTCTGGAACGGTCCCATATTTCAGAAACGGCCCAGAGAAAATTTATGAAAACTTCGACAGGATGGTTGTTGATGATGCCCGATTCAATGGTGATATCGGCAATGTTGCCAAATCAACAGTTTTTCAGATATTTAGGGTAACTCAATTTTTTCAAATGGAATAACCTATTTGTTTCGCTTCATTACTTATGTCTCCAAATATCAGATTTTAAATTGAAGTGGTTCTCGAAATATGACAACATGGCATTTTAGTTCGAAAGTCTGGGAACCTTCTAATATTTTCAATACGGTTCAAGGAAAACTCATGAAATTTCATACAAGATGGTTTCTGATGATGCCCGATTCAATGGTGATATCGGCAAAGTTTCCAAATCAACAGTTTTTCAGATATTGAGGGAACCTCAATTTTGTATAACATTTCATGATATTTTCTCGAGCCCTTATGAAAATATTGGACCGTTTGCAGACATTTCAACAGAGCATGTTCTCATATTTAAAAAACCATACTTATTTAAAATTTGATATTTGAAGACATAAATAATGAGGCGCGGCTGAATGTATTGCAATGAAAACAAATAGGGTATTCCATTTGAAAAAATTGAGTTACCCTAAATATCTGAAAAAACTGTTGATTTGGCAACATTGCCGATATCACCATTGAATTGGGCATCATCAACAACCATCCTGTCGAAGTTTTCATAAATTTTCTTTGAGCCGTTTCTGAAATATGGGACCGTTCCAGAACTTTTTAACGAAAATGCTATGTTGTCATATTTCGAAAATCACGTTAATTACGAATCTGATATTCAGGGAATCAAGTAATTAGGATGCGCTCAATTAATTGCAATAAAAATAAATGGGGTATTCCATTTGGAAAAATAAAGTTACTCCTAATATCTGAAAAACTGTGAACTTGGCAACATTGCCGATGCCACCATTGAATCGGACATCATCAATAATCACCCTGTAGAAAATTTCGTGAATTTTTCTCAAGCCGTTCCTGAAATATGACACCGTTCCGATACTTTTGAAAGACACTGTATATTTGTTGATATTTTGAAAGGAAACAATGCAAAAGAAATTGTCAAAACAAAATGAAAATAGATGTGGGTAGGTGTGAGGTTATTCAAATTCGAGAGCTAACATTGAGATCTCGCAAACTATAAGAGATGCGGAGATGGTTAAGTTAGTGCATAGTGCGCATTCATGTGACTAAAAATAGGCCGTCGATAAAATTCATGAATTCCGAGTATTTCCGGAAATATGCGGGAAAGAACTAGACATTTGGAGAATATAATATTCATTTTTTTCTGGTCTTATTCGTTGAATAATAGCAAAATTTATAGCACACTCTGAAAAATAAACTTAGCAGATTTTACATAATTGAATAAGTACTAGTTCATTTACAGAAGTAAATGGTTATGAGTTTGAATTTTTAAAATTTCAATTCAATTAAATATCGATTATCGCGATAAGCTTTTAGGATCATATAAATTTATACAGTGTGTCACACTTGTAATGGAAACACCCCTGTATCTTACGTAATCGTTGGTGAAGGATCCTGAAATTTGTTGCAGCGCGAGATATACCAAAAATGCACTCTATGATTCACAACCCCCTGGTAGCGCACCTCTGGATAAAATTCTCGGAATGTCTTTGTGGTCAAAAAATGAATCATCGAAAGATGAAATCATATACCGAATTTGAATGCATTATATTCAATTATTCTTGAGATATTGCGAAACAACTTTTTTACGCCCTGTATCTCGAGAACTGAACACTTGAAGACCGTATTTACCTATCTCAGTGATTATGGAATCACGAGGGCTAGTGAATGTTATGCAATGAGAGTGATATCAAATGAGCTAGGGTATGCTACAGCTAGAATGGCTTACTTTGCATTGATCGAATCTCATATTCGCTATGGAATAGCTTTCTGGGGCCATTGTAATTTACAGTTACTGAATACAATATCTGCACTTCAGAAGGGGTCATTGAGATATGTTACAAAGTCTAAATCGAGAGATCACTGCAAGCCTCTATTCATTAATCATGAAATATTAACTGTCACCTGTCTATACATAATGGAAACAGTATGCTCAATTCATAAAAATAAAACTAGCATGTACACTCCTGGAACAAATTGTCACAATACCAGACAGTATCATATGCTTTATTTACCTATTCCTGAATTTGCTCTGACAAAACATTCTCTGATATATGAAAGTATCAAAGTAAACAAACATCTCCCCATTATTCTAAAAAATATCACAAATAACAAAACATTTCGAAGTTCAGTTAAAGATCTTTTAATGGAAAAAGCCTATTATTCGATCTATGAATTCTACTGTGATAACCTGTGAATTATTATTACTTGAATTTTAAATATTTGCCTAAACGCAACTATATGTTCATTAATGTTTGGTTTGTGAAATTTTGTTGTTTTTTGTTATTTTTTGTTTGTATTTCTTATATTCTTTGACTTGTATTTATTATATGTAAATTTCATGCTTTGTCAACAAGATCTATTATCTTTGACAATAAAGTATAATTTGACTTGACTATCGCCTGTCAGGCGTTGTCAGAATTTCGCAACACCCTGTATATAGAGTAGTAGATATATGGTTCGATTTCAGAAATGAAAACTTAGACGTTTAGAGGATTGAAATGTCTTTTCGATGAGCTGCCACTCAACCTACATTGCCATATGAAATTTTTTATGGCGTGGCAGTGGAGACAAAGGGGATGAAACGACCAAGGCCATTTTAACGTGAAAACATGTCCCCCTCATAGCTACTGTTCACTTGTCTTGGCGATTTTCCGAGAACCCTCTATACTCAACGAGATATTGCGGGTGTGAAGTTTCAAAATGAACACCCAGTACCTATAGAAGTATACCCAGGCTGTCCTCACGTCTTCTAAATCAGGACATTATAAGTGAACATCTGCAGCCTCGTAACGTTATTAATTTGAGGATTTCCCTATGTTCACATATAGAAATGTACCCCAGGCTGTCCTCGAGTCAGTCGAGTCTTCTAATGCAGGACATTATAGGTGAAATTTTGTGACATAACAACGTTTTCAGGATGAAGAAAATAGGTCGTCTTCTTGAGGCTATTGGCGACATTTTGAGAATGTCCTTCAAATCAATGTAAGGTTTGATTTATTGTATTGTAAGAGTATTTTTCACTCTAGGAAGATACTATTTGTGAAGTTTTAACATTTTTTCAAATTATTTTTATGGGGGGAATATGCTTATTTAACGATTACCTTCAATTTTGATACACCTATTCATTTATCTCGAAGAAATTACTTACTCGCAGAAAGATTCTTTCGAAGATGGTATTTCCATGGTATCATGGGTTTTTTGGGAGGTATCCATCAGGCATTGTAGATATTTCCTCTGGACTCTGTATTCTTGGAACTTTATGATACATCTTGGCAGATCAACTAGAAAAGTAATGAGCATTTAATAATAATAATAATAATGAACGCCTTTCATTGTCATGAGTGAAATACATGAAAAAAATCGTACATAGACTGTTGGCGAAGTCTAGCTCAAAGCTATTCCACTTAACCAACAGAGGGCTATATCTGCCCAAAAAAGCTTACTTACTAATTAATTGCTAGCAATACAAATGATAGAATTTCGAGTGATAAAAAAAGCTACGACATGAAGGATGTATTTAATAATATTATATCAAGACTGCGTATCGAGTAGATGCTTCTTCAATTTATATTTGAACTTATTTATATTATAAACTTTGAATTCGTCAGGTAAAATATTATTCATTTGATTAGCATTGAAGACAAAACATATTTGAAAAATAGTAGATTGTTTTATTAGGATCAAAAGTGACACTTTGACAAGCGAATTTTTCATTTGCGAGGCGGAGCGTTTAGCGAAGCCGAGCGAAAGCAAAATTTGCGAGTCGAACAAAGTCACTTTTGATCCGAATAAAACATGCTATTTTTTCTGCAACCGAAACAATTAACTCAAATAACCATGTGGAGTAACCTCCAATGCTGTGCCATATGTATGCAATGCAACAAATATTGACAAATAATCCATGTGGTAAGAATATTCTACCTGCATTAACAGCAGGTTAGGTTTTCAAGGATGTTCGAATTGTAGTTTCAATATAAATACAACCACAGAGTGACATATTTGTGTATGGACCAGGTGCTCTAATTGCAAATATCGCGCCATTGCCAGCTATAGGAACAAGCATATCAACAATGATGATAGTGATTATTTATTCCTCTCCATACAACACTGTGTTTGACTTGATAATCAAATGAAGCTAAACAATACCTATCGTTGTTTGAGACAAAAAACTATTACTTGCCGTAATTATTCGAAAACAAGTTATCCATGCCTGTATTAATATCTCCAGCATGGGTATGAAATGCCAAATCTGCTGAAATCGGAAACAAATCAGTTATGCGCCTCAACCAAAATAATCAACCGTCACAATGTTGTTTATACTTGATGACGTCCAGTATATCTTTTTTAGTTCCTAGGAGCTAAAATTCAACTTTAGCTCCTAGGAACTAAAATTCAACTTTAGCTCCTAGGAACTTAATAGGTTGCCTAGCAACATACCTATTTTTGTGTCAGTAATAGAAACGTCAATTTAAGATCTAATTTTGGTATCAAAATGGACGACTTTTGTGTCGGTTGCAGAAAAATGTATTTCTGTGTTGCACCAGGGTCAGGATGGTTCTCTTTCTGATGTTTTTAGAGTGTATTCTGAATCGGGGAATCAATTTGCTTGCCAGAGCTGGAGGATTGGAGTCACTCGATAGTTTATGAGTAAAGGTATAGGTACCTAACTGGAGCTGGGTTCTATTGTTCATATTAAGCCAGTTGCATTCCCTAAGTTTTATATTATCATATTTTCTGATACCATAAATCAGTCTACAGCAGCTAATCTGAACTTTTTTTATTCTATCTCTATCAATTTTCGTCAAGCAAGGACCGTAAAGAATGTCGCCATAGTAAATGTGGCTCAACACGAGTGACTCACACAAAGTTCTTTTCATTTTAACACTGAGAACATGTCGATTACTGAAAATGAGTGCGAAAGCTTTACCAATAATATTTTTTATGTGCTGAGCAAAGCGCATGTCAGTGTCTAGTACTAAGCCAAGATTTCTTGCTGAATCACAGACTTGTAATGGGGTAATATCAATTTGTAGATTGAGACTATCCTTTGAAAAGTGTATGTTATTTTTTCTACCGAAATAGAGTACCTTGAGTTTTACAGAATTGAGTTTCAAGTTGTGTTCATAGGAAGATGTCAATTCATTGTTCATGATTTCTCCTGCAAGAGCGAAATCTTCAGTACGAAAGTTGAGATACAGCTGAGTATCATCAGCAAAAGCCTGTATTTTACATTGTTCTATTTCATTCAAACTATTTTCAGAAACAACTCGCCGAGTAGACTTCAGAATATTCAGAGATAACTGAGAACTAAGGACTCAGACGACAGCTACATCACAATTCTCTCACACATTTTCTTCTATGTATAGACTGTTGGCCCGCGACACAGGGTTTATCGATGTTCTAAGTCGGTATGCCATTTAAGGTACCCACTCACTTAGTCCAAGTTAACAGGAAGGAGTACCTCGGAGAGAGTCGCAACCCAGCCCTTGCCCCGGCCCTGACCTCATCTTTCGGTTGGAAAAAAGTTCTAAATTTTGTTCAAGAAGAAGCTTGGCAATGAAGTGCAATGATCTTATCTCACGAAAATTGGGGCGCTTGCCGGTTTGCATACGCCTAGGTCACTCCCCAAGGGCGGCATACGAACCGGAAGTGGCAATTTTTCAGTGTTATAGTCGATGATCTAAGAATATATGCCCTTTCGCAAAACAATGAATTCGGACCAATTAATCAGTTTCCCGACATTTGCATACGATTCCGGAGAGGGGAGCTCGACTTATTCGAACATCAATTGACTGGACATCTTTCAAATAATAAATGCACAACTCTGGACCGATAAACTAGAATATTCTTTATAACTGGATGCTATTTGCATACGAAATCAATGTGAGCATACGTTGTAATATTCGGGCAAACCCGCGCGTGCCTTGGTCCGGCGCGGCACCCCGCACTGCAGGCCAGAGGTGCACCGAAAGCGAACTAAATCTTGAAGTCTCATAATCTCACATGAAACCGGGTCAAAATGCTTCCTGGGGGTGATGGGGGTATTCGAAGACGCGAATTGCAGATATATTTGTATTTATTCATCAGAAATTTACAGCTCAACAAAATTACATGCGTGAGAGGTTTAGTACCAAGAAATTTTTTTGTATGATTTCAATTTGAAAAACAGGGCTTCGAAAAGATGATAAAAAAAATTGACGACAAAATACTCGCAGGATGATCAAGAGGGATCGTACAGGGGGAAGAGGGGTGGATTATTGCTCATGATCGAAACTCACAATATATCGAATTGAAATTATTTCCTCAATCAATTTAAATATCGGATCTCCGATAAAAGGGAAAAACATTATTGAATGCCTAAATCATTACGTGCTACACTCTACCCGGCTGACGCAGCAAATCATTGTTCAGATATGACAATTTAGCAAATAAAAAGAAAATACTTCAAACCCGGGATTCATATTTATGGCACAATTTGACAATTTGGCGCGTGATCGCTATAAGAGTGCTGCGTGTAAATGATATCGCGGGGTGATGAGGGGTGCCAACATATATATCTGCTCAGACAGCCAAGCCGCACTAAAAGCCCTAAAATCATTCGTTTTCACATCAAAGATTACATAGGACTGCTTTGAAACACTCATGCAACTGGGAAAAGGCAACAAAGTCACACTTATGTGGGTTCCAGGGCATGAAGGAATCAAAGGAAATGAGGCAGCTGATCGCCTTACAAAAAGAGGTGCAGCATCTGCACTTATTTTTGGTCCTGAGCCTTTTTGTGGGATAAGCAAATGTCACCTGAAGGGAGAACTCGGGAAATGGGAAGAAATTGAAAAGTCCTCCTACTGGGGAGCAACTCCAGGTCAACGACAAGGGAAAAGGTTCATCAACCATTCGCAGAACCGAGCCAAAGATCTACTCAGCCTCAGCAAACCAGAGCTAAAGCTTATCACAGGCTTTCTCACAGGACACGGCCCTCTGAGGTACCCCCTCAAAAAGATGGGTCTGGCGGAGACTGACACTTGCCGCTTTTGAAACAATGCGACCGAAACCGCGGAACACATACTTTGCTCATGTGAAGTATTAGTCCGCCAAAGGCTGAACCACCTAGAACAGGTCTATCCCACCCCTGCTGAAGTGGAAAAGTCAACCGTCAGGAAAATCGTAGGCTTCATCAGAAGTCTAGGGTTAGAGGACCAAAACTAGATAGTGGTAATCACAATAGATCTTCTAGGTCGCAGTGATCGAGAGGTCTCTCAGCCTATACGACCCATCTACAATCTACAATCTACAAATGATATCGCTAGATGCTGTAGAGCTGTATTCGTCATGATAATCTCAATAGTGAAATAATATATAATGTTCCAGTAAAAAAATCAACAACTACTCCATAGTTAATTTGTTATGAACAGCCTGTGAATTTTTTATTAACAATGAAAAATCTCTTAGGAGTAATTTTAATTGGTATTTGAAATTCTAAAATCGGTTCAGAAACAACTAAGTTACAATGGGAGATATTTATGGTGAACCACCCTGTACGGAATGTGGAAATTGTATGCAAACCATCATCTTATATATACTGTGTGGTCCACTAATCATGGTCAAAATTTGGACATTTCTTCGATTATCGATTATTTGAAGGATATCCAGTCGAATGATGTTCGAATAAGTCGAGCTCCCCTCTCCGGAATCGTATGCAAATGTTGGGAAACTGAATAATGGGTCCCAATTCATTGTTTCGTCAAAGGACATTACATTCTTAGATCATCGACCATAACACTGAAAAATTGCCACTTCTGGTTCGTATGCCGCCCTGAGTGACCTAGGCGTATGCAAACCGGCATCAAGCGCCCCAATTTTCGTGAGATAAGATCATTGCACTTCATTGCCAAGCTTCTTCTTGAACAAAATTGAGAACTTTTTTCCAACCGAAAGATGAGGTCAGGGCCGGGGCAAGGGCTGGGTTGCGACTCTCTCCGAGGTACTCCTTCCTGTTAACTTGGACTAAGTGAGTGGGTCCCTTGAATGGCATACCGACTTAGAACATCGATAAACCCTGTGTCGCGGGCCAACAGTCTAGTACCAATTTGGTATTCAGAATCATGATCTGAGAAATTGTGAAAAAAAAGGTAAAAGTTCAGTGATCTGTCCAACGTCTATACTACTTTATAGCAGAGGAGGCTAAGACGCTAAATAGGGATTCACTCGAGCGTTTATATGATATATGACCTTCCACTCGTGGAACACTCACATAGAAATACTCGAGCGCATCAGAAATTGA